TTTATTAAAACCACTGTAGATTAAGCAATGGTGCCAGTACATTTTGTCTTTCAAATATTCAGGTAGTTGCAGTTTTGAGCCCTTTAAAAAATTGAACGAAATATCAGCTGTGAGGTACGAATATGGTGCACCTCTGTTTTCACTCACCTCCTCCACTGGCAGTAACAAAGCATAGATTTTTCACTTAGATTGTCACCTCTGCTTGACTACCAAGTAACTTTCTCAACAGACAGAAAATGCCAATGAAACAGATGGCCAGATCTCAGTGTCAAAAAAGAAGAAAATAGCATCTACCTTTCAAATGCCATGCTTCCCAAAATAATCCTGCATAAAGCAGCTACAGATCTTATGATCGCTTAAAATGTTTTTTACTATTGTGGTTATGAGGTAGGAAATAGTTTCTAAAGTTTAGAGGTGGAATCACCACCTTGAATAATAAAACAGAACCGCACAACCAAAAGCCGGGATCGTTATGTGACATACATACAGCAGTTGGCACAGCTGTCAGCCGAGAGCTCCTCAGGTGCCACTGTCTGACAAGGGGCCATTTTCTAGTCTGCTCTTGCATTTTGATAATTCATACTAAAGTGCCATTAGAGGGCAAATGTAATATTAGTCAGTAAGAGATTCAAAAGTAACTAATTCAGTAATTGAAGTGGTAGTAAACTGTAAATAAACTGGCATCAGTTTGCTTTATATTCTTTATTTAGCCTTTCAAATAACCCAAATTACTAGAGTTTCTCCTTTTTGTGAGAAAACACATCCTCCAAAATTGATCCTGTTTCCCAGCAGTCTGGAGACAGGGCTTTCTTTAGAACGTCAGATTACTCTTACCTCTAAGTGCAGGATACTAACAGCTGGTCCATTCAGTTCATGCCTGATACTGGTGCAGTAGTAAGCAAATGTTCTACACAAAGGCTGTATTGAAAGTCTTTAGTTTCAAAAGCCTGTCTGTGATTCAGCAATATACTACTTTTGGTCAGATCAAAAATAGTCACACAAAAGCACTGGTCTGATACAAATTCACCCAGAAATCTGTGACTAGCAGGGGTTTTTATTCCAGAGCAGGTATCAACTGTCCATGACACCTCCTTTCTCATAGAGCGGCTACCTTGTGTTCTACAGCAGATGATACGAAGCCCAAATAGCAGCCAGTGTAAAGCCGGCATCATGCTTTCTTCCTAATTTTTGCCCAGGCCTGATCTGGGTCACATTGTTGGAAGTATGCATGCACAGATCCAATATTAGTGCCTGTGATACCAGGGTCCAGATGGACTGGTTTAAAAAATTTGTAAGTACCATTATGTCTGGCTACCAAAACTGACCTTAGATTAATATTTATTTCTTAGAACTTCGTTTTTATGGTATTATGAGCTGTAGTAGTATTTTTCCATGTATCAGCTGGATACGAAATAATAGAAGCTGATTGTTGGAGCATCTACTGTTCTTTCTCCTCCTAGTCCCTCACCCTTGGTTGTCTTTTGAACATAGGTAGTTCGCTTGAATCCTTCAAGGATCCACAAAGAAGTTTTGATCTGTTAAAATGAAACCTAGATGTTACCTCATTTTGGTTTTTTTTAGTACTGTGCCAAAATGTATAAAGTCCTTCACGAAGTTTGAATCTGATGGGCTCTTAAAGAAAGGTTTAAATGGGAATCTTCGTGAGTAGGCAGAGATGATGATATTGCTGAATGCTGGATCTGGAATTAACTGATTCAGCACAGATTCAGGACAGATTTTGATGAAAATTAATTTGAAATACCAAAAAAAGTTCATAGAAAAAGGTTAATGTGGCAAGATAAAATTTTAGAATTACTTGTGTCATCTCATTTAATGATGTTGAATAAAAACGTTTGAAAATGCTGAATTCTAAATAACATGAGATTGGAGAATTTTCAGTTAACACAAAAGAATGTGTTAGCGTACAATCTAACAGGTATCTGCTTCCACAGGAATGCTTGTAACCAGCTGAATATTCATTTTTTTCTACCAAACTTTTCAATAGATTACTCCATAATTGGATTTGTATTAATTATACGATGTGTTTTCAGTGATTTAACTACAGTTCAGTTTCTAACGCAGAGCATATGCTCTGGCAAGACGTTTTTGTCTTTCTCAGGCATGTGCTAGTTGTGAGATGTGGTCTTTCATTAGTTTTCCACAAAAATGCTCCTGTCAAGAAGGTTTCTAAAATGCCGTTATTGTCACTGGAGACTTTTACGCAAATCCTTGTAAATGAAAGTTTATTACTTTTTTTTTAATAAGGTTTAAAACCATTATTTTTATTTTTTTAACATTTCAGAGTGTTTTACCTTACTTTTCTGTTACCTAGTGCATTCCATTTGACTTTTGGAATCCACCACTGCTCCCTAAAGGACTGAAGGGATGCTGGAAGATACTTATTCAACAAACCTTCTTTGGACTGTATTCATCCTCTTACATAAGAAGGAGAGGGAGCCGAAGCCTCAGTCTAGTCCTAGTGGCTGGTCTCAATAACGAACCAACCCCAGTGTGGGATCCAAGGAGCCACGTGGTCTTTAAGAAAAGTGCACAAGGAAGACAGCGCTTTACGGCTAATATTTTGCTGCAACAAGACGTTTTGCTCTCTGATTGCACTTTCTCTTTGCTGTATGGTGCTAGTTGTTTTAAGGACCAAAATTATGTTCCTAGGTGAGCTTTTTTTTCATCTCTCACCTCTGCACATACCTGCCCTAGCTTTATCTCAGTCTCAGTCACTTGCACTCTGTTTTGGATGGAGTAGTGGAAGGGGGTATAGGTAATCTGTCATGAACTTCTTTCTGCTTCATTACTCCTGAAGTCCCTGTTGTCTTTACCATTTCACTGGTTTTAATTCTTGTCTTCTTGACTATATTTTTGCTTTTCATACATATTTACGTCCACTCATGCAGAGGGTTTTTTCCATCTTTTGAATCGACAGAAATCCACTTTCTTCTTTTAGCATTTTTACTGTAAATTTTCTTCATTTAACTACTTTCTTTTGAGAAACAGCCAGTGTCTAGGAAACTTACTACTTAATAGCCAACTTTTGTCCTCACTTTGGAAAGCATTGTAGGCTAGAAGTAATGTGCTGGGTAACACAACAGCACATTCACAATCACTGCTTCCTAGTCATTCCTTCTCTTTCAGGCCAGAGCAACTAGATCAGAAAGACAACACTTTTGAATTGAAAAAGGGACTTGATCAGGGGCTGTATAGTAAAGTGTTTATTGCTTGTGCAAGGCACAGCTATCCATCTTTCTAATCAATCTCTTCAGATGTGTAAACAGTGTGGCATTGGCTGGGACATCAGGAGTGTCTCAGTGGAAGCAGAATAGGTCTGAGTTATATCTTGGCTCAGATTACGCCTTCTGTCCTTTCTGGAATAAGAGAATCCTGGTCTTGAGACTTTTGAAATCGTACCTGCACACCCCTTATCTTGATGAGCAAGAGTACAGGGTAGTTCTTTCTCTCATGGATTTCTGCCTGGTGCTGAGGCTCACTGTTGGCCACAACTCGTCACTGAAGTCCTGCATCCCTGCCAGTGACGTCTGGGCATCACCTCCGTGCCAGTATCACCAGGACAAATCTTTGCCTGTTGCCAAGAGACATCTCAGTTCAGACATATAATACACAAGTTCTCACACATAATACATCAGTCCAGCAGCCATAGAGATGCCTGTTTATCTCTTTAGCCCCTTCCAGAAAGTAGTTTGTGCCAGTATTGTCAGCCTCGAAGGCAGCTGTATCAATGGCTTCTTGCAATATATTTAAACTATGAGACCTCCAGAGGAGCTAGCAGTCCAAGAAAATAAGCAACCATCATAAAGCCTTAGTTACTTTGCATCTGTTATGTTAAAGTACTTGAGACTGATAGGTATGGGCTAAAAAAAAAAGTATGGTTTTTTTTCGAAGTCAGAGATTTCAGACTGAAATGTTGTCCTTCTGCTATGACATTATTTCTATGGAATAAACTATTACTAGGCTCTTGAAAGGAATATGAGCTGTCAAGTGAGCTCAGAAGTAACACTTTAAAAAAAACACCCTCAAGTGCCAATGTAGTGCTACTTAAGCTAGTACATTCCTACACATGTGGAGATAGTAATGCCAATGTGTGAATTGCCATTTTATTGGCACTTTTTAAAGTGCAAATAATTTTTGCTTTTTAAAGTATTACAGACACGGTACAGTTGTGTATTATGGCACTACTAGGAGCTTCCACATTTCTGCCATCTTTCATGAGCAGTCATGTGATGTACTCTGGGTACCTATTGCTTTTTCTTCAAGCTCACTGTTTCATACTTTTCTCAACTGGGGCCTTACACTATAATTATTTTTTTTCTCTTCATAACAAAGGGGGTATTGCAAACACTTAGGAATAAGCTTTTTAAAAGTACTTCCTCTCATGTTTCCCATTCCATATGGTGGTACTTGTTCTGTGCAGTGGAAATCTGCAGGAGAGCATCAGGAGAAAGTTAAAGGACCAAAAGGCTCTGATCCTCTGACTTCAAAGGCATTTGGGGTTACAACACTTAAAGGGAAAATTCTGACAACACCTGATCCAATATCATTTTTGTTGTTACTGGCTCTTACTTTGCTCTATTGAATTTTATTCCCCTTGAAATTTGTGGTCAGACTGAAGCACTGACAGGGCAATTATCACCTTTAATTGTATGTTTGTAAAGCTTCTAGCATGGCAAGACTGAGTTTAGTGGCAGACCTTAGGTGGTAGCATAGTATGATGATTAAATTAGTGTAATTTCTTTTCGAGCAGTAGCCATTTACTGTTGGTGTGTCTAGATGCAGTGATCCTCCTGCATGGATTGTAAGCCAGGTTAGCTTGTGCAGTCCTCACTTTCCCACAGGAGTGCTTACACAAATAGTCCAATAGCTCTCTGAGATTAAGAAAAGTGCTGTACTTTGCTGCCAGGTCGTTGGGGAGCTGCCAATCATGAACTAGTATGAACGCTGTACTAATGAAAGTCTTCTTACTTTTTGTACAGGGATCAGCTGGCTTACCTGGAGAAACCGGGCCATCTGGAAGCCTTGGCGAAAAGGTATAATAGCGTATCTGACTACTCAGCAGCAAAAATCAGCAACAAAATATTGGTGAGAGATTGTTTACTGACCACTCACAAAGCTAATATTCGTGTAGCTATTTCACAGCACAGGGATGTAATAAATGGTAACCCAAATGCTGTTATTTGAAGTGTGCATCTGGTATCCTCGATTTTACTTGACAATGAATTTAGAGTTGATAGATCTGATGTCTTGTTCATATTGTGGCACTTACTTTACTCTCCACTGCTATTGATTCACAGAAACTAGCATAAATTATACTTGTTTTATATAGTAGTCACTGGTTATGCACTGCTACGTAATGAAGAGACAAAAGAAGAATGGTAAAATTTGGCTGTATGCATTAACTGAGTAAAGAAGAGAACATTGTGAGTTTTGTCTGCTGTGCAGTAACAGTTGTGTTTATGAAAGCAAAGTTTGGCAGACTTCATGTGACTAGAACAGTATAAATAGCCTAAGCATATTTGACATGGTTTTATTTAAGTGAAATGTTTTAAAACTGAAAAACAGGAAACTATTACTGGACTGCATGTCAGTTTCAATTATAATAATAACATAATTGTTTGTCAGAATGATCCAGCACCATTTATATTTATTCCATGCAGGGCTGAATTATTTCACCTAGACTGGTGGCTGCTGTTTAGATGTTTTGTTCAGAAAGTCTTAATAAAGTATTAGAACTTCAATGAAAATCTGATTATGACTTATATAAAAAGCGCTGCTTGTTAAAACTGAAATTTAGACAAGTCTCATATGGTTTTAATTATAATATCATCTTAGAACTCAGTGTCAAAGAATTCTGTTCTTTGTAGTTACACTTGGGCCAACAACGATTGCCTTGGTATAGTGCTGCTAGTTTAGCTAGGAGGGAAAGGCAGTAAAAGACTAATTAATTTATCAGTAAATGGAAGCAAGATTCTTCATGGTGCAATAATTATTGTCATTGCTATGCTGTTTCTGTAGAATTTGTTATCTTCCTCTTTTATGGATTAAATATTACAATGTAAACATGCTGTGTGGATTTAAATGGTGAACATAATTCCAGTATAATTATTTTAAAAACACGTGTCTTTAACAGTATGCAACATAAAATATAGCACTATCACTACATCATGTGTACTATCTGCAATAGAAGTGTAATATTTGTATGGGGGTAATCTACGGCCAAGCCTGGTGTTTGGGCTAAATGTTATACAAATAAAAGGTGAGAAAGTGTGTAAGAGAAGACAAAGACCCTTCCTACTTCCCCTGCTCCAATGGCTTCTGCAACTGCTGAAGGGCTGGTCTTGCTTTTAGGTCTGTACTTGCCCAACATACTGAAGAAATGAGGGAGAAGGGAACAAGATTTTCTTTTTTGCTTGTTTATTGTGGTGACTTTTGTTGATTAAAGAAGAACGTAATTGTAAACGTGATGTACCCAACAGAGAAAAGGTATCTGCTAACTGCAGTTCACAAAGACTGATGTACCAAATCTCTTCTTCAGTTTTCTAGGAAAGACAGAGAAATTCAGTTTTATCACCTTTTCAAAATATGGGTGGGCTTGTAGGAGGAAAGAGGGCAGAAATTCAATGAAAGTGAAAAAGGCCTCTGCACTGTTTCTGAAAGACAGTCCCTGAACCAATGGTGTTATGCACTGCAAAAAGTTGTTCCCTTTAGCAGAGTGCAGAAATTCAATGAAAGTGAAAAAGGCCTCTGCACTGTTTCTGAAAGACAGTCCCTGAACCAATGGTGTTATGCACTGCAAAAAGTTGTTCCCTTTAGCAACCAAGTCTTTTGTAGACTATGGGCTACAACCCTCATGAAAGACCTCTTGGATTGCTGCGGTATTGTTATTGCAGGTTAGCCTTGTTGGCCAGATACGCCTGGCTCAATGTACATGGAACGAGTCGGGGAAAGAGTAGTGCTCGCTATTATTTTCTTTTTCATTTTTCTTTAAAGGGAGAGCGAGGCAGTCCAGGACCAGTAGGTCCTCCTGGGGAGAAAGGTGTCACGGTAAGTCAGAAATGATGTAGAATCCATAGTTATGTTACTTACAAAGGCACTTTACTTTCCAAAACAATAATAAATTCTCACTCTTCTAACTGTGTAGGCTTTATGGAAAACAATAGTATTTGATGTGTTGTCCTAGGCAGTTTCATTTAGCAGCTTTATCCCCTCTGTGGAAGCGGCCTTGCAAAGAGATTTTCTGAATGAAGCAGCAGAGCAGCTTTTTTTTTTTTTTTAAAGGCTCTAAGAAGTCTTACATGAAAAATTAAACACAGTTAATTGAAAGGAGAGATAAATAAAGGAGGGAAAGTACATGAATGAACTCCTGTATAGACTGGCTTAACACAGGTTATACTCATAGACAGACTGGTAACCAGCATCACCTCTAATTCCACTGCACACCAGTACGCAGACAGCCCCTGGGTGCCACTCTGGTGGGAGGACCAGCTTCCTGACAAGGCCACTTGTCCTAGGATGCTACGTTTCATGCAGCATTGTACACTCTAGAGGCCACTGTCATGTTAAGTAGGTTGTTGGGCACAGAAGTAAAATGCTGTACACCTGTGCACATTGTCACATTAATGTTGAAGTTCTCAAGGAGAAGTGGTTAGCGTTTGGTTGTGTGTTTGCTTACTGGAGCGTTGTGATGGCTCCAGAATGTATAGAGAATGCATTTTGTCTTGGCCAGTCCCGCCTATACCAGATGTGCCCACTTTCTGTTCCCACTGTCACAGCCTTGACATGAGGATTTTGAAATTAATTTAGAACTCATCAGCTTTTCTTTCAGTAAACCCCTGTCAGCTAGTGTCCATGTGTGGGAAAACTTCTTAGGTTGCTTTAATGATTATTGTGATATATCCAAACAAATACCCGTTTTCTAAAGAAAACTTTGGGAATAAATTTTGCAAGATTGAACATGTTATTAACTTATCTCTGATTTCTCAGAGAAGTAACTGGATTTATTACTGTTATTATAATAACAATTTGATAAAACTGTTCTGTCTTTTCTGTATTTATTTCAATTCTAGGGCTACCCAGGACCTCCGGGAGGCCCTGGACCTGTGGGGCCAGAAGGATTACCTGTGGGTATAGAGTGGTGCTTTGGTTTGATATAAAATATACCATTTTCAAATTGTCTTTTTCATAGAATCATAGAACCATAGACTGCTTTGGGTTGGAACGGACCTTTAAAGGTCATCTAGTCCAACCCCCCTGCAGTGAGCAAGGACATCTTCAACCAGATCAGGTTGCTCAGCACCCCATCCAACCTGGCCTTGAATGGTTCCAGGGATGGGTCTTCCACTACCTCTCTGGACAATCAGTTCAGTGTTTCACCACCCTTATGGTAAAGAATTTCTTCCTTATATCCAGTCTAAATCTGCCCTCCCTGAATTTAAAGCCATTACTCCTTGTCCTGTCACAACAAGCCCTGCTGAAAATATTTTCCCCATCTTTCCTAGAGGCCCCCTTCGGGTACTGAAAGGCTGCTTTTTGCTGTACTGAAGCTAAGAACGGTTTCTAATTTGTACTGCAGTCTATGAAAGTGTCATGAAAATTTACTCATCTGAACACAAAGTCCGTTCACCTGCTCCTTACCAGGATGATCCATGAGAGACAAGAAAACTAATTATATCATTTACTCATCCATTTAAAAATCACTCTGTTGAGACAAGTAGGGGAATAGAATTTTTAAAGCATGGTTTATAATTGCACAACAATTTTATTTTTAATTTGTTAATGCCTAATATAATTTAAATATAATCATTATGTGTTCAGTTTCATTGCTAATAAAAAATAAATTTTATTCTAATTTGCTGTGTATAATTGTCTAATAATTTGGCTACTATGGGTCTTCAGTACAGACAAAAACTGAATCTCTTATCACAAATTATTAGGGTTTTTTAACATAATGTTACTTCAAGTACAAGTATCCTTTAGCAATTTTGGGATGTTGGACAGAAGTAATTTATCCAACAGTTGCATCATGATTTCTTATTCAGAATAAAGTTCTGTAGAGTCTCTTATTTAGATTTTTCTAGATAAATTGTACTAACACAATCAATTGAATTTGAACCATGTGTGAAAGTGATTTATTTGTGTTAGTTGATTGACTGTTGATCAATGTGCATGAGCCTTGTAGTTTTCAGAAACCTGTGTGTACAAGACAATGAGTAATAACTTTATTTGACATGTAGGGACCTTCAGGTACAAGAGGACCACCAGGGCCACAGGGACCTAAAGGAAGAAGAGTAAGTAATATTGTTGTTTCATGTTACTTGAAGTAGAGAGCAGTGTGTTGCTGGTATGAATCTGCCATGTAACCCATGTATAGTTAATTCCTTTAAACTCTGTCCTCCAGACTCAAGCCACTCATACTGAAATCAGACAGATGATACTTGTCTTTCCATTTGGGAAATGATATGAATCTTCATTTCTCCTCACATTATGGTTAAATGGGGTTTTGCCATTGATTTCAGCTGAGAGCAGGACCAGAACCAAAATGACCACTGGCTTTATTTCTGTGTACGTAAATATGCAAATGTTGTTATTTGTAACTGCCATTGGACTGTTTCAATGTTCTAAAGACTTTTCTTTATCTGCATGTCGTTTATGTCTTTGGAAAGACAATCAAAATTACCCAAACGTAGTTCTGAGAGAGGAAGAAGTAAAGTCAGAAGATAGTGTATGCTCGAATTTCAGTCCTCTGATTAGATGGTCATTTCTGTTTTATGCATTTTTATCAGGGAAGTGGGAACCATTTTTCACTGTATACAGAACACTAATCCAATGCCCACATAAGCAAAGAGGGAGCCTGTCCACGTTAATTTGGATGAGCATTTGATCACAACACATAAAATCAGTATCAATGCAAATATTGCTGTTACCTTGTGATGGTTGGCTACATGCTTTTCATACATAATTCGCTTCATAAACCCCACCAGTCACTTGTACTTCCCGTCTGGAGGTTTTTTGGTCATGTTTTTGCAGTCTGAGCTCAAGGTGCCTACAGGAAGCACTTCCAGTTTGTAGTATAGATGGGTTTGGTTGCAGCGTGAGCAAGTGTATTGTCTCTGTATCTATGGAGCTTGTCGAGAATAGCAGTGAAGATGCACCCTTCTAACATTATCCTTACCTAGCTGTTCGACAGCATATCCAGGCTTCCTATGAGACCCGTACAACTCATACCGGTGGCTGGACCATCAGTGTGTCTTCACAGTGGTATTGGCATCAGGCAGTGCTTACCACTGATTCCTGAAAAAGTCCCCGAATCCGTGTCAGTGAGATAATTTTCTTTCTGTTGTAGGAAGCAGAAACTTCTGTTGCTACAGCAAAATACAATTATAACCTTCCCTTATCCTCCTGCGTTATTACAATGTGTATGTTTTCTAAGAAAATACATGGTAAAATTTGAAAAGTTGTGAGTTCTGCAGGTTCTGTTCTAGTTAAACATAGATACTTGAGAAGCATGCATTGCATTTTAAAAATATTTCAGATTAGAAAATAGTGTGATTAGCAAACTTTGTAATACAAAATTTATTAACTATATATCTTCTACATTACTTTTTTGTGATTGCTGAATTATTAAATAAGAGATTAGGTAAAGAGTTATGTTTTCAGTACATTCAAAATAGTATAGATGAATATACTATATATTTGAATATTAATGTATATTTGAAACCATTTTTTAATATTTGTTATATTTGAAATATGCAATATTTTGAATATTCTGTAGATTCAAAATATGCAATGCTTAACAACTTCGCAGTACACTACAAGATTATTCATAAGAGAAATTTCATGTTTCAAATCATTCTTCCTTCTTTAGTATGGTTTCATACTTCCTTTGGAAGAAATCTGTTTTAATTTACCTCTTTGTTCATGGTGCAGTTTGTAGGAACAATTTGTAAAATGTAGCAGATGAAACATATAATTTCTGTTAACACTTTGCAATAGTGGCTCTGAGTTACCTGGTATTAGAGAGCTTTCCAGCTGTCAATGCCAAGTGTTTGGGGCTTGGTTTTTGGTTTGTTTTGTTTTGTTTCAGACATAGAATATAATTTATCCCAGATTTCAGTTTCTTTAAATGGGTGAAGCAGATTTGAGCATATATCTACATACACTTAGAACTTCTTATGCTTGTCTGAAGTACCTGTCAGTAGGAGATTTGTCTGAGTCTGCATTTCAGGATTAAAGAAGTTATCATCTCAGCAGCTCATGGAAAAGGACATCATCAGAGAGAATCTTTATGGTCTTCTGAAAATAGTCTTCATTTTTCCCTGTGGAAATGTGGTTTTTTAAAGCCTATTTAAAAGAATATATTAGTAAAGATTTCTTTCTGGGGCATTAATTTGCTAATTTAATAATGACTTATCTGTAAAAAAAACCCCAAACACAAAATCATATACACTAAGAAATATTCAGTATTACTTTGATGATTTTACATGCAGAAATAGCAAATGCTTTCCACATCTCACGGGTCACCTGCTTATTTTCTGCACTGAATTTGTCACACGTACGTAATCTATCAGTGCCCAGAAAAATGAGTTTACTGAGGTCTGTTTGTCAGGCAAAACCAAAATGCAGATATATTTGATTATGCAACACATCTAACAAAATTCAAAGAGAAACCTTCTAGCTGCAGAAGGCTAGAATCCACCCCCACAGATAAGTACAGTGAACTACCAAGAATTGGTGTAAGCAGGAGTGTCCAACCCCAGGCATCAGCTAGCAGGGAAGTAGCCCCTGAAGTGTTTAAAAGGGTGCTTATACAAATGTGTTCAGTGGAGAGAGGCTGTAGGGGCTCCTAGGAGCCCTGCGTTAGTAATTAAGGCAGCCTTCTGACAGGAGTGTGAATCTCTGCTTTGATTTAGAGCAGCGGAGGGAAAAAACAGCCATTTTGCTTCACAGGCAGATTTGAAAATGTAAATCAAAACAGAAATGCAAAACAATTGTGAGGCTGAAAAGAAGTAGCATCTTGGCACCACTTTTTCTTCAGTGGCCTGATTCAATGAAACGAATGGGTGCCTTACCTCTGTGTGATTTCAGAGGGAGCATGTCTGAAAGTGAATTACGTGCTGAAGCCTTATGCTGAATTGAGACACAGTGGAATCAGCCATCAGATAAGGAGTGCACGTGTGCAATCATTTTCACTGTAAAATGCTGATGTTTGAGCTTCATCTAAAAAAGAAAATGTCTTGAGCCCTACTGGTCAACCAGAGTTGCAGTGTGACTGGTGGCCTATAGGATGCGATGAGATAGAAGGCCAGCTCAAAAGTAATTTGGTGTAGGTAGTTGTCTCTGAGATTGGTACTGAACTGCTGCAGGTTGTACGTTTTAATTCCTCTGGAGATAGCGTTCCCCTCTGAGCTCCTCCTCTGATCCTTCCCTCCCGGCAAGTCCATCTGCCGTCATCATCAGAGCTGGAGTCAGAGCCAAGCTACTCACATGGACGTGAGTCCTCTCCGCAGGCTCTCCTCCCCCCCGGCAGCATCTGCTATCAGGTGATTGTTTTTGTGGGGGAAAGACTTATTTTAATTCAGATTCTATTTTGAAGGTAGAGATAGTTTTTATTTAAGGAGTGTCACATCTTCTGCCAACTGAGACGGGAATCTTTGAGAGAGTCTGTCTCTGTGATTTTGGCAGCACATCATGGAGTACATTGCTTATAATTAAAGATCACTCAAAATAAATCCCAAACATCCCAAGCTCTGTGGAAGTCCCAGTTTAGAGCTGTGGTTTGTGCCTTTAATTCCATCCAGCATGACTGGGAATGCTTCGTGGAAGGGGGTCTCAGAGCAGAGCCAGGTCTTTCGGCTCTGCCAACAAACTCCCACTGAAGCCACTGAGAATTTTGTCTGCTCTCAAGATCAAAATATCGGACCCAAAGTAGAATCTTGCAGAAGGAAAATATCTTGGGGGCCCTGAAACCTGGGGTTTGTCATCACTGGATTCAGAAAGAGAAGTGTCAGAACCCCGAGCTCTGTGTGGCAGGCCTTGGAAAAATGCATACCATTGTCACCCACAGAAGTTAAATAGAAGCATATGGAAATTCCCCTTTGTTGTGTACTGAAACAAGAACCTATCCTGTCTTCGCAGCTGGAATCTGCAGGAAGTCTTAGGAGCGCTGACCCTCTACTTCCGCACTATCACAGAATAGAATTCCTCCATCTCATAAATTCTGGACCTTTCAGCAACCAGTTTGTGTCCAAGATTACCCAGCAGCATACTTCTCCCGGAGAGTATCCAGCTGCTCAGTCTCTGGTACACCTGGGAGTTCTGGCCAGCTGAAGGCAGGCTGTCTAGGAGTCTATGGAGTATCTTGCTGTCAGGGTATTTTGGGGGGATGTGTCACTGAGCAAAGTGCTAGCACAGAGCTTCCTCAGCTCATGCTAAAGACTTGATGCACTTCAGCTGCAATCATGTGGAAGGTTGGGTCCTTTTCGTAGAATCGTAGAATAGTTTGGGTTGGAAGGGACCTTATATCCAGTCCAAATCTACCCTCTCTTACTTTGAAACCATTACCCCTTGTCCTGTCACAACAGGCCCTGCAAAAAAGTCCCCTTCTTATAAACCCCCTTTAAGTACTGAGAGGCCACCATAAGGTCTCCCTGGAGCCTTCTCTTCTCCAGGCTCAACAGACCCAGCTCTCTCAGCCTTCCCTCATGGCAGAGGTGTTCCAGTCCTCTGATCATTTTTGTGGCCTCCTCTGGACCCGCTCCGACAGGTCCATGTCTGTCCTGTGCTGAGGGCTCCAGAGCTGAGAACTCTAGGTGGGGTCTCACCAGAGCGGAGCAGAAGGACAGAATTACCTCCCTCGACCTGCTGGCCACGCTGCTTCTGATCCAGCCCAGGATACGGTTGGCCTTCTGGGCTGCGAGCGCACTTTGTCGCCTCATGTCCAGCTTTTCATCCACCAGTACCCCCAAGTCCTTCTGGTCAGGGCTTCTTTCAATTCCTTCATTCTCCAGCCTGTATTGATACTGGGGATTGCCCTCACCCAGGTGCAGGACCCTGCATTTGGCCTTATTGACCCTCAAGAGTTTCACATGGGTCCACTTCTGAAGCTTGTTGAGGTCCGTCTGGATGGCAGCTTGTCCCTCAGGCATGTCAACCCCACCACTCAGCTTGGTGTCATCTGCAAACTTGCTGAGGGTGCACTCGATCCCACTGTCTAGGTCATTGTTGAAGATATTAAACGGTACTGGTTCCAGTACAGACCTCTGAGGGAAACCACATCTCCATCTGGACATTGACCACTACCCTCTGGATGCAACCATCCAACCAATTCCACATCCACCAAACAGTCCACCCATCAAATCCATCTCTCTCCAATTTAGAGAGAAGGATGTTGTGGGCCTTTTTTTTTTTTTTTTTCAGTGTTAATGTCATGAAAACACAGAGGGAGAACCCTGCTTTGTAGATACTTCAATGGCAGAATGGCACTCTAGGGAGTGGGAATATCTGTTTCTAAGAGAAGGAATTTCTTTCCGTGACTGGAGAGAAGAAACACATTAGTCTGAAAGACATGCTGGTGGCAGTGTAAGCAGCCATGAAGCTGTTGTTGTGTGGGGTTTTTTTGTTGTTCTTGTTTGCTAGTGTGTGGAGATGGAAAAAACCACAATGTCAGAGACTGGTGCTCCTTTTAGTTCATACCATTATCTCCAATTAATACAACTATAGCTTTTAATTTGAGAGGAAGAGGTCCTGTATCATTAGATTCATTTCATGAGTGAGACAGAAGCAAAATTCTCAACAGCTGCTAAGACTCTTAGCAGTTAGTATTCTTCAGGCTGATGTTTGGTGTTTGGAATCTTAAAAGCAAGAATTTTTCTGCTCTTGCTTTCCTGGAATGCAGCTCATGAAATTCATTTTGAAAACGCGGATAAATGACATAGTGAAGTTTCATAAATTTGGGGTCAGACAATAGCATCTTATGTCAGTAGCAGCCAGTGGCATTAAGAACCTCAGTTACCTAAGGACATCAGTGCTCCGCTTTAATGAGTAGTACCTTTTACACTTCTCACAGCAGGGAATATGGAACCTAGAAAAATTTGTGTGCTTCAGGGTTATGTGGAACAAGTGGCCAGTGTGCTTTGTGCTACCTCAATAGCTGAGTGTGTTCATCTGTTTTAATTGCTCAGAAGAAGTGAAATTAAAATTGATGTCATTTTCTAATATTCTTCTGTGTCAACCACCAGAAAAGAGGAGTAGCTATGTAGTATGTTATTTTCCACTCTGCTTATATTTAGGAGGCAGGATGAGAAAGAACAAAAAGAGTTAATTGGTGCTTTTTGCCTTCTTAGATGAACTTTTTTTCAGCTTATCATCCTAGAGTTTTCAATGTAATATGTTCCGTTTCAGAAACAAAGCTGAACCCATGCCAAAGAAAAAAGTAGTAGCAATCATTTGGCAGCCTTACTCCTCAGCTCTGCTGCAACTTAAATTAAATAACAGCAGGCAAATCATGTGTACCTCTCATTCTGTGCTAGCTCTAGTAGGAAATGATACAGATCCAATTAATCTGTGCCAATAATGAGTCACACAATACTATTTATACAAATGTTGTGGTGTGCTTTTATTAGAATATTAAATTGCCTTTCCCTTGGATTCCTGCACCCTGTTCTGTGGCTGGCTAAAGGTCGGCTAACGGCAGGCATGGCCCAGAGCCAGAAGCTGAGCAGCATGTTGATTTCTGTTACTTTGTTTTCAATTCCAGATTATATAGTAGAAGTGTTTTGAATGGTAGGCCTTTTTATTTGATTATCAGTAATCAAATCAGTTGTCATTCACTGCCTAATGATTGGGCTGTCAATGTGGACAATGATTAAAAGGAAGTCACAAGTGTTCAAATAATATACCTGTTAATATTATTAATGATAGAAGATAAAACCTGGAAAGAAATTCCTTTATTACACAAATCTGTGCAATCAAAATGTGTCCTTCCTCCTTGAATATTTCATCTTGAGATTCTGTCCACTGATCAGCCCTGTGGAGGATGCACAAAGACAAATGACGGGTCATGTGTCTAAAAAGTCAGAGAAACATTAAAACTATCCTGCAATTGCTCAACTTAACATTCTCAATTTCCTCTTTCCTGTGTTGTGCTGGGTGATTCCTCTGAAGCTCTTCCATGAGCTTTTCTCCCCTTTTAACCCCCAACTGAATGACCTGTCCTCACTCCATCGCAAAGTTTCCTCCTGTCCCTTTTCCTCCCGTTCTTTGAGGCATTTCACGTGAAAGGAATATCAGATCACAGGACTCTAAACCTGCTTAGCCTGCCTTGACTTTTCATCACAACCCATTTTGTGTGCATTATAGATAGCAGTTACAGAAAAAGTGCAGAGCAGTAACCTGACATGGATTTCGTCAAGATGTTTAGCTTTCTTTTAAACTATGAGATATAATAATTCAATAATTGGGCATAGTTACATAATATTAACATGATGCCCAGTCTTGTTCCTATAAAGGCCTCCATCACCCTTGAAAACACTGTTAGTGTTTTGGTTCTGATCTCTGCATGCGCCAAAGTCACCAGGAGTTTTTTCCACAGACTTCAGTATCCTTTGGTTTGGGACCTTTCTGATTGAGAGCCATGCAGCAACCTAGAGAGTCTTCTTCTGTGGCCTCTTTTCTCCTCTAACTTAAAACACTGGCTGTAAATACTCAGTCATGGCTTAGACCAAAATAAGAAAGGTGGCCAGGCTAACCCAAGGATTGCCTCACAAAAGCTGCATCCCAAATTACCAAGGTATCAAAAGTATTCAGAGAGCTGTCCCTACCTGTTCATTTTCCTTTTCCTGCGGTTTCTGTGTGTCCCCTCGTGCCTCCCAGAAGCAGCAGTGCAGAAATACTGACAGATAAGCTTCTCATGGGATATTCCTGTCCCTGCCAGGGGCTATAATTACAGATCAACTCATAGGAAGGGCCTTTTCTGATGCCAGCCCAGATGCCACCAGGACAGCTGTTGTGTCTCATCCTCCACTGCATACTGCTGTGAAGAGCCTTGCTCTGTCTTGATACTTACCTAGCTCTTGTTTTAAAGTGGTCATTTGTTTTAGGTTGTTATTAACTGATTTTAATTTTATTTTCCATACCTAAACAGTCATGGTGTGTAGAACTATGGAAATAACCTTCTAAGAGTGGAAAAAAATATTCTTTTCTATTTTGCTCATGATCTGTTATAAGGATTTTTCATTTGCTTGTAAACTAATTGATTTAGATTTTGAATCTTAAATAATAATTTCTGAATATTTTGGCAATAAATATTTGCTATATTGTAATACAGTAATATAACAGGTTATCTTTGTTTGTTATGAGGAGTCAGTTTACAAGAGACATTTTAGTCTAACAATAGAGCAGTTCACTATGCAAGATTATAAATTGCTTTTCATCTTAAACTGGTTTACTAATGTAAGTACCTTATCTGCCTGTTTTAGAGTCTTACTAGCAAGCTGGATTTTTGCATGTGCAACTTATAATATGCTCAAAAGCAAGCACTCCATACAACCAGTGCTCGTCTAAATTCTTCTAAGTATGTGTCTGTTGCATGTATTCAAAGTGGATGGAAAAGAGAGCAGAAAATATCAGCCTGCAAGCTGGCTGCAACAGAGTCCCTGAACACTTTGTTTACATGTTTTTCCAAAAATCTTTCTTGTTAAATTCATATTTCAGCAAACCAGAAACTTATTTTATTCTTTGAAGCTTTATTTCACACTTAACTTACCATGATAATTGTTTTTTGTGCTAAGAAAACGTTTCCCCTCTCCTAAAGTTTATGTTGCATCTTCCTTATGATAACCAAAAATAATACATAATTAATATTCCAAATCACTTGTTCACTGTTCAGGGGCCAAGAGGGCTAGATGGTCCTCCAGGAGAACCAGGAACACAAGGCATTAAGGTGAGTACTCGCATTGCTCAGTACTATAAAAAACACTGAGATAGACCATAACAGAGAAGAAAAGAAAACAACCAACCAACCTAGCATGTCAGAAGCCATAAAGTTCTGTTTAATCCAGGAGGAGATTTGCAAATTTCTGCGTCCTTCAGGTACTTCCTTATTATGGCACAATCCCTTCTAAGCCTGAATCTGCACTTTCTGCAGGGTTACCCAGCATTTAAACTGATAGCAACTGTATGTAGCGTATCTATCAAATGCACGTAGAATTCACACATTATTGGTTATTTATCAGGGAGAAAGAGGTGATCCGGGAAAGAACGGAGTTCCTGGGCTCATTGTAAGTATTGGAGCAAATCTTTGTAGTAAGCCATAACACAGTTACTACTAACTTCTGAAGCTGTGTTTAGAAATTATCTGAAGCCAGCGTTGTCTTTCAATATGTCTCTTTGACTAGGGTAAAGCTGGAAATCCAGGAGAGAGAGGAGATCAGGGTACTCTTGTGAGTATGATATTCTCTAGTACTCCTACTAAAAATAAATAATAATCCACAAAATCTCATACTTTGTTTCACACTCGGATATGAGGGAATTTGTCTGCTTTAGAACAGCTGGAAAACTCTGACAGTACGGTTTGCATTTATTCATACAAAGGATCAGGGACAGAAGTGAGAGTAAGTGTGAACATGGTCTAGTCTGCTACAAGACCAGTGTTTTCATGGATGATTGTCCACAGAATACGGTTATGATGGGAAATTGCAACAGAAGAAATGGCCATTGTAGTTAGTAGGAGGGTCCTAGAAGTTGCTTTTTTTTTTTAGTTTTATTGTAGTTTTAAGGGAGGGAGTCGTTGTGACATAGAAAAATAATTCTTTTATAGATTTTAGGGTAGATGTATACTGTCAATGTTGGGATAAATGTAGAGAAATGTGTAAAATGTGTATCATGTATAGCAGAAAATTCCTCCTTTTAGGCCTTCTTTCAGTGGAAATCTAAAATGTTCTAGCTGAGACTTTCTTTTACAAAGAAGGTTACCACTCAGTCCAAATTTTACTGGATTTTCAATAAGGAAGGAAGCAGAAAAGCAGAAACAAAGCAGCAATGGTAGTGATTTTGTGCTGAAATTGAGACTCAAAATGTTGGTTGTCACTTTAGTTCTCTTGCTGCTTCTGCTTAGATTTAAGAGCTTGTTGCCTCTCACCTATGACACGACAAGTTTTCATTCACTAGGACTTTTAGGTGTATTTATATATACAGAAATGAATGAAGCAAAACCTTATTAGGTTGAAATGATGGGAATTAGTACATTCATTGCTAAGTACAAGACACTGCTCTATTAGTCCTACAGCTATAGTTTCTAGAAGAGAGTATGATATGGTAGGAGCCAGGCTGAACAGAAATAAACGTGGGCTGTGAACCTTACTGATCATGTAGATCAGGACACTCATAACACTGTGTTTAGGCACAGTGTGTGTACACAAGCAGCACAGGAGCCTAAGCAGAATGACGAGGAACTGGTAAATGGTGGGTCAGCTAAAATCCATGCCTATGTAAAAGAAACTGAGGAAGGTTTTATTCGGGGCTCCTTCACCTGCCACCGGAGCTAGTGATGGGGCAATGCATGTCAACCAGAAGAAAAAGCTGCACGTATGTCTTGGGTGTTTCTGAGCAAGTTACTAAGTGAGCAGAAATAAGAGAGGAAGAGAGGATTTTCACGGAATATGAAACAGCTTGTTCCCAATGATTTTTTATTTTATTTTAATCTTCCAGGGTTTGCTTGGGCCTCCCGGAACCACAGGAGACAGGGGACCAATGGGAGAGCCAGTAAGTTGATCCTTGTGCTGCTTAAAAGATTTTCCACATATTATACTGAATTCCCTGGTAACTCAGGCTCCATTTTACCAAGATTCAGTGTTTCCAGTTGTGGTTAGATAGGAATTGTGTGGTAATTGTTCCAAAACTGCAGGCTAGAGTCTGCCTCCCTTGCTTAGCGTAACTTGTTCATAAGGAGACCTGTTAATCATGTTGGGGAGTGCTGTAGTAAGGAGCGCACCGTAGAAGACAGCATGGCAGAATCTGGACCACAATACTATGTGGCTTTACACTGGATTGAGGTAGACATCTACATTATGGATTACATAAATATATGTGCCAATACAGATATTAGTGGTAGGTTTTTTTCAGCCAAATTTTAGGATAGTTATTCAGGAACTCAGGGACCACGTCTATTTGGCAGGTTAAATTTTCAACAAAAAAGAGACTGTTATGATAAACCTCAGACATTCCTTTGCTGGATGGATTCTTGTTCTGATTGTTATTTCAAAGCCATGTTTGCTTTTATGTGGCTAATATTGTAACAGAAGATCATGCAGATTCTGCAGCAAATTTATGCAAAGTGCTGCAAGGTATAGCCATGACAGGAATAGTATCACATCACTGTCTCTGGTGGTAAATCAGATTATATAAATACATTGAAAGAGTGTGTGCTGTGCTAGGGGAACCTGGGAGAAGGCTGCTATCTTATAGTGCAGAAATCTAATAGAGTTGTCAAAAATTGTGCGCTTTCATTGCTTCTGAAAAGTTATTTTGCACATCAAATGATATGTAGTTAGTTTAAATCTTGAAAGTGAACTGTTGATGTAAAGTATATTATTCCTACTAATTCTTATTATTTCTAATATTATTAAATATTATTTCTACTAACCATTCTGCACATTACATTCTGTAACCCATAGGCTGACATTGCACATTTTGAGGGGCTAGAAAAATACCAACATTTATTTTGGTAAATTTGGATATAATTGCCTACTTAATTTGAGCTGCCAATTTGTAGGAGTGGCAAAATGTTTAAAGAAAAAATGTGTTTTCTAGTGGTTATTACTGGATGCCTGTCACTTCATCTCTTTCATTTATTTTATCTAATCTTCATGTTGTGACATATGAGAGCCTTACAATGCAAGACTTACGTATAAAATTCCTGATATTTTCTGGTCAAGTCTGAATTTTCATGTATATAGAATGACTATCAGCCTTATCGAATCTAAATGGTTTACTCTTGAGCAACGTACATTTCTGCTGTGCTCATCATCGTAGAATCTACATATGCAGTGTCAGAAGTAAGAGAAGCTTATCCTGTGAACAGGGTGCTTTTTCTTTCAAGTGCTGAAAGCATAAAATGTCCTCAGAAAATGGTCTGTGGAGCTAGAAAGAAGTGATGAAAATGACACAAGATGTTATGAAAGGAAACACATGGCTTTTTTTTTAACTACCTGTCAAAGCAGCTTGATTTCATCTTTGGTCTGCTGGTCACTACATGAAAGCTAGCTGCTGAAGCAGTTTCTCTGGCTCTGTCACTAGTGCTGCACAGAGCAGAAAAGCCCTAATTATTGGTGGAGGAGCAGAGAAACATAAGCAATTAGGACTATTTGTAGTAACGGGCTTGATCTAATTGCACTCTACTTACTTGTCAGACATTTCAGTAAAATCTTCCTTTGCAAATAACCTGTTGTTAATGATTAAAAGAAGTCCCTATATTGCCATAAATCTTTGGCTTCTGAAATTCCCTGAAAGTCTCAGGGGAAAGATACGTTACTAATCCAGCAGACTTAGCTCCACAGTAATATTATGAAGAAATACTTAACTCGTGAATCAAACTTAAGCTTTGTGACACTTGCCTAGTGGAATGCCATGGAGCTGCTGCAAACAAGAACCGATGGACTTAGTTTAGGACCAAGTGAATTCTCAACAGGAAATTAACTGCCGTGTCAGTTGTTCACACTTAAAGCAAGCTATAGGGCAAACCACACAGCTATAGGGTGAAATTTCAGCATCTGCTGAAATGCTTTCAGTAATGTGCAGTTTACAGTGTTGTTACAAGGGAAGGATATACTCACATTATCACTGCCAAGCCATCAGAAAGAGCAAAACGGTGTGCATAGTCTGCAAGATGAAGTGAAACAAAAAAGAATAAGTGTTTGCTTAAAGGGCTTCTGTCATAAATATGGGTAGCAGTATCTTTCTTTTACATGAGAATAATAGACCAACAAAATGTTTTGAATTTAGAATTCACATAAAAACAGATGAGTCCCAAATGGGTAAATGGATATGAACTTTCTGAAAGTTCAAAGACTGGATACGTCCAGAGGGTCGATTTGTCTTGACATACATTCGTAGTGGCTATGGAATCAGTTGTCAGCTGTCACAGGCAACCTCTACCCCGCAGCACATGAATACCACTCCATGAGCAGAGGTGGACAATCTAACATGTGCAGAGAGTTTGAGCATTCTGCTTTAGGAAATGATCCCTGCAATTAATTTATTACTTATGGTAGGGCTTATAAGAAAATGCTCATAGTATAGTTACTAATGTTACCAAAAAGGCTTCAGCCTTTAGTCCATTACACCTCAGTGACTGTGCTGTATAAACATTGCTAAATCCCTAGTGAAGCACACAGTAGTTGTTTTCATTGAATTCCGTACCAGACTGTAGGCTTTTCCACAAAGCAAACCAGACAGTCTAACAAACCTTAATTAAATGAAGTTTCAGTTAATCAAGAGGAGACCTTAGTTTAGATAATAAATTACTTTTGCTCTAAAAGAGACATTCGTGCTATTATTTAGTATCTGTTATTTCAGTGTGTCAAGATTGGCAGTGAGGTCTTCACTACTGTATGCCTTCATTATACTTACGTACACTGTTGGATTCAGGAGGAAAGAAAATGAAATACACTTCTTTATGCTAATTGAAAGAGTTCTGAAGAGACAAAATCAAGACTGTACAATGTAATTTAATGTTAATTGAATGATGCATCCAAAATTTTGTTTAATGCCAGGGTCCAAGAGGACAGCCAGGGGATGCTGGCCCTATTGGAGAAATGGGTTTTGAGGTGAGCTTTTAATCATTTATATACTAATTACAAACATTCAAGCAACTGAATAAGCCTGGACAATGTGTTTAGAAATTATTTTTTTTAATACTTGCAGCTGACTTAAATACAGTGAGCTGCTGAGAGACTCTCTTACTTAAAGCTGGTACAATAAAAAAAAAAAAAGTCTAAAATAAGTAGTCATTTGTCTGTTGTGAGAACTGTCTTTGGGCATATGTTCATGACATCTGCCCCCAGAAGGTGAAGGTTTAGTCAAGCAAACATCTTTTTTTTTTAAAACTTATGTCCTTGCAAATCTTAGATGAAGAAAAGCAGCTGCAGGTCGTATTCTTGCTAACTTTTGCTTCTATTTTTTGCTTTGTTTTTAATATCTCATTGAAAGAAATATGACAATGTATTAGCAACATTTGCAATGAAGTAGCTGAGGGATGAGCTCACTTAGAAGGGATTTGGCTTATCACCCTAAGCCCAGTCTTCTGACTGACTTATAAAACAAGATTTAAATGTAAACTTTAAAAGAAGCAGTCTGATACCATCAACTTTTTAAGGGCTGAAGACTCCAAAAAGGGCTTTGTTCTCCAAAGTTTCTCTCTACTTGGCTGCAAGTCTAAACAGTGATGTTGTCAGTCAGATTTATAAAAGATAAATGGGTGCTGAGCCTCCTAGTAATTTACGATGAAAGGTACAGGCTTAGTGATACTTCTGAGTCTTCAATACATTCCTGATCCACAGTGCAGTTCCTGAACTCTTCCCATACCCTCCTTTCTGTTCTTCTGTTGGGTTCTAGTAAGAATAAAGAACTGTGCTGTCTTAATTTTGATTTTTGAGATGTGCATCTTTCCCAGTTCCTCGTGTTATTTTTGTGCTTGAATTTTGGCTGTATTATTTGGTGGTTGCAAAATTATTTTTGGTGACCATGTGTAACAGTAGGTCTTCTACCATACAGGGACCTCCTGGCCCTGAAGGAGAACCTGGCCTGCAGGGAGAACCAGGTGCAAAGGTAAATGTTGAAATTATTCTCTCTTGTGCTGTTTAAATTTTCAGAAGCAAATCAGAATGATCTGATTCATTAGCCAAGTAGACAGTGATAAAGGAAATGAGCCATTAAGAAATACTGTTACTGTCATGATGACTGCATTATATGTAAACCCTGTCATTGTTAGGAATATTGTTCCTTAAAATCCAATGATTTGTTTTTCTTGTGATATTCTAGGGAGACATTGGACCTGCTGGGAAGGCTGGAGAACCAGGCGACCAAGGTTTAAGGGTAAGCTATGGATACAAATCTTCTTCCAAAAAGGAAAGTATGTTAAAAATGTGTCAGAAATGCAGATTGAGAAGCCTTGCTTTATCAAAAGCATTCAAAAAGAAGCTATTTTCTGATACCTTTAAAATAGATTTTTAGTACTGTGGCAAGTTAAAAAGAATATTGATTATAATCTCGAAATATTTCTGTCCTGGGTTCAGCTGAGATGATAGTTAATTTTCACAACAAGCTGGTTGGGCTGACCCAAACAGCCAATCCAATGTGACATCATGCTCAGTATTTAAGTGGGGAGCTGGCTGAAGGGAGAGGCTCTTGCTACTCAGGAGCAAGCTGAACATCGGGTGGTGCGAACACTGCCTGTTGTATATGCTTTTTGTCAGTATTATTGATTGTTGTTTTCTTCTCCCTTTGCCATTCTGTCAAACTGTTCTCATCTCAACCCACGAGTTTTGACTTTTTCCTTCTGATTCTCCTCCCCATCCCACCGGGGAGGGGGGAGGAGTGAGAGAGTAACTGTGTGGTTCTTTATTGCAAATTGAGGCAAAACCACAACAAAGTGTCTCATGTCACGGAGAGACATGAACGAGTAGTTTGAGCATGAAGGTAAATTCGAGGGTGTCCAGCCCAGCTGTTAAGATTACCGCACACAATAACACTGTGTACGATACCCAGCCTAGGTGAGATAATGGAAACATTATAGTCTCAGCAGAGCACGGTATCTCTCTACATAGTATCTAAAGCAGCTGATTTGCTTCTGGTACTGTGGATGGCTCATTCAGCACTTGATTTTACCAAGTACTTCTGCCCCTGCTTATTCTTCCTGTGCGTGTTACCCCCCTCATCCGACCTAAACAGTTGCCTACCTTTCAAGGCTGAAAAAACTTTTTTAAAGTGCTAGAGACAGATCTTATAGGGGACACTTCTAAAAGAGCGTAAACTATATCCTTTCAGACTTAAGCCTTACCATTGAGCTTTCTTGTTCCGTTAACTCTTTGCTGTCATCTTTTCCTCCTGTGCAATATCTCCAGCAAGGTGGATTCCACAATTCTGCCTGTTCTTGGGGAAGAATAATTCCTGTTACTGGTCCACAGTGGATGTTCTGGACTTAACCCTACCACTATGTCTGAAATCCTATATTATTAGTATAGGGCAGCGTGTATTTGGTTTTTTACTGTCTGCATGCAAAGTTGCAAGTTGCCAGTCTCTTTACCTGAGATAGGCAAATATTCTAAAATGCTGTGGTGCCGATACTGTTTGTAAATGGCGAGTTTTTCATGGCCCTAAAATGAGTCACTAACCATACCAATATAGTAGTTATCCACATAAACATGGAAGTTTCAGGATGGAATATGTGTATTATTGAGGTTACGGTGATTACATGTTGTGTACTCTGAAATCAAACTATCTCAGTGCCACTGTCCAAATCTCCAGTGTTATATGGACATAACATTGCCTTTTTTTCTAATGTTGAGCACATTTTGTGTTTTCCTGTGTTCAAGATTCGCAGGGCTGTGACTCTGCCACTGTAAGTCCATGAAAAAAAGAAAATAAATAAAGTACAACAGCAACATAAAGTTATCCAAAAGAAAATAAAATGTGTAAAACTAGTCAGAGTTCCTCCAAGGCAATGCTTCTATGTCAGCAAGTTAGGCAATAACTTTGTTTCAACTGTTACTTTCTATAAGGGTGAACCAGGACCTCCAGGAGAAGATGGTGTTCAAGGCAAAGATGGCCCAAAGGTACATTCAGTTTTTATAGCAGATGTAAAGCAGTCATATTAGCTTAAGGACCCAAATGTCTCTCTGCCTCATATTTCACCAGGTCAACAGAGCCCACTATCAGTGCACTTAGTTTTGACATAGGAGGCCCTGTACATTATAGACTTTCCTGTGCCTTTTAAGCACATACCTATCCTGCAAGTGCCACAAAGTTGAATGGCTTGACAGAGAAATGTAAGCTGGAGGACTGAGTACAGCTTATTTCCATGGTGACTATCACACTGGAGAGAGCAAGCCCAAGGCTGCCCCACTTGCTGCATTGGATCAGTGCTGTGCCAGGGATTGTGACAGGTGCCAGGACAGGGAATGTCACAGAAGACACCCTCACGTAGTTGGTGATGGATGAGGCAAAATCTGGCTGTAGGGAGTACAGAAATGAGATAGAAAGGGCTTTACCCTAACTCGAAGTCTGATCTGAAGTTAATTGGTGAGATTCCCATCAGTTTTAGTTGCTTTTTGTTGAACTTGAAGATTCAGAATTCACTTTTCTCAAGAATAAAGTAATGCTGCAGTAGCAGCTTGACTAAGGTTTTGGGTTTTTATGCTTTACTTTAGGGAGACCCTGGAGACCAGGGACTTCTTGGAGAAGGTGGTGACAAAGGAGAGATAGGGTTACCAGGAATTGCTGGACCCCCTGGTGAACCTG